TTTTTATTCAATTTCCTTTTCTATTCTATTTCCTTTTTTTATTTAATTTCCAAATAGATCGTTAAGGTATAGTGGTTTTTTTAATAGACTTCCATTTTTAATTTTATGCAACTTCTATTTTTGTTTTTATTCAACTTCCATTTTTATTCAATTTCCTTTTTTATTTAATTTCTAAATAGATTGTTAAGTATAGTGGTTTCTTGAATGAACTTCCATTTTTATTAAATTTCCATTTCTGTTCAATTTCCTTTTTTATTTAATTTCCAAATAGATCGTTAAGGTATAGTGGTTTCTTGAATGAACTTCCTTGTTTAATTTTATGCAGTTTCCAATCCTATTTTTATTCAACTTCTATTTTAATTCAATTCCCATCTCCATTCAATTTTCTTTTTTATTTAGTTTCCTTTTACATAAATGGCATTCCGCCAACACAAAAGAGGCCCCGTGGCCAACAAATAAGAAGATCCAAAACCTTGTAGCACATCCTGGCTATCACCTGAAAAAGATTTAACAATGTGGGATGAACATATAGTCCAGTAGAGATCTCAACATGATCCTCAACAATAACAACTTACAGATAGCTATGATCATGAATGTTCAATCTCATACTAGAATAGTAATGTGGCAGTTTATACAAAATATACATAAGTATGAACTTTTCTCGAAAACAGCCATTTCATTCAACGCTATAAGCGGTACACCTTCTTTCCTTTTAATTACCCATTTTTCTAAACTTTCATGACTATAACAGTTTTAGAAAAAAAAACAATTTCACCAAGCCCATTACTCTTCCCTCATTTTTCGTACTTACAACCAAATGACCTTTTTTGAAAATATGTTCACAAATACCCCTTTTTCCTTCACACTTTCCAAAATCTCAAAATGACATTTTGGTTTGTTCCTAATACATTCATATCAATACATGCATGCCTTAAATAAAAGGAAATAACAAATCATCAACATGTATATAATCCACAAATGAGGCAGCTCGGCCTTTCAAAACTGTAACCATCACAACCCATAACATATTCAGATACATTGACGATAACAATTAAAACTCTGCTCTACCGGCTATATGCACAGTAGCTAAGGATATGCCAAAGCGATAAGCGAGATAATAACTCATTTTAAACATTTCATACCTCATAATAGATACACATTTTAGTCCTGTATCAATCTCAGACAAAAACACTTCCATACTTCACAAATGATACACATTTTAGTGTTGTATCAATATCAAACAAAAACACTTCTATACTTCACAAATGATACACATTGTAGTGCTGTATCAATGTCAAACAGTTTCCGGTTTAGAGGTCCATCCCCTATCTTCCCCTAAACCGTTGAGTAACCAATAACAAACAAAAACACTTCTATACTTCACAAATGATACACAATGTAGTGCTGTATCAATGTCAAACAGTTTCCGGTTTAGAGGTCCATCCCCTATCTTCCCCTAAACCGTGGAATACATCCCCTATCTCCTCCCACACAACACAATGTATATAAACAATTATCATATACAAATTCCTCAATACAACAAAGCATCGCCACCAAAACTGGTGACCCAAATCCTGATACATCTTAGTACCTCCTGGATGCACCACAAATGAAAGGACAAGTTAGAATTAAATGAACACTAATTGAAATTAAATGAACACTAACTAGCATTAAATGAACACTAACTAGCATTAAATGAACACTAACTAGCATTAAATGAACACTAACTAGCATTAAATGAACACTAACTAGCATTAAATGAACACTAACTAGCATTAAATGAACACTAACTAGCATTAAATGAACACTAACTAGCATTAAATGAACACTAACTAGCATTAAATGAACACTAACTAGCATTAAATGAACACTAACTAGCATTAAATGAACACTAACTAGCATTAAATGAACACTAACTAGCATTAAATGAACACTAACTAGCATTAAATGAACACTAACTAGCATTAAATGAACACTAACTAGCATTAAATGAACACTAACTAGCATTAAATGAACACTAACTAGCATTAAATGAACACTAACTAGCATTAAATGAACACTAACTAGAATTAAATGAACACTAGTTAGAAATATGAATGGACAAGTTTGTCATAAAATCCCACTAATGGAATATGAATGGATCACTAATTCGAATTGAATGAACCATTATGAAAATTTAATAGACACTAGTTGGAATTAAATGGACATCAACCCTTGGTTTCCAAACACAACTAACCTGTTTTAAACCTACCCAACACGACCAAAGACTCATATACAAAGAGTAAAGGATGGAAACAGGAAAAAGACGACAATACATCCACGGAACCGAGTCTGAAATACAATTAAACAATGAAGGGAAAACCGGGA